AGACCGGTGGTTGATTCTTTCAGAACTCATCATTAGCATTTACATTCGGCGCACCCTGCACTGCCCTGGCCATTGCTTCCAAGGTAGCAGCCATCACATTGTCATTTCGACCAGCCATATTCTGATTATTCCCAAAAATAACAACAAGGTTAAACAACCATTCAACCAACACAACAACAAGACATACACAACTAACTCAACCCTGGCTCTGATACCACTTAATGCAACACCCCCTTTCTATACCCCCAAATAATCACATAATATCATTTAGGCACATATTGAAATTTTCATCAGAGTATAATTGAAACACGGTATAAAAGAGGCACGTCACATTATACGTAAAATGAACACATACACAACACCTGCTCATAATAAGATATGCAACAACGGGACAACTTGCAACAAAGGAACTTAGTCCTTACACCCACATCTCAATATTTAGAATAAAAGCATAAAATCTAAACATTGAATAATCACCAAACATATATTCATATATACATCATTCATCATGATTCAAAAATCATCAAACATGTTTACATAAACAATCGTCACCAAGATACATATACAATGTATCACAAAAGAATCATATACAACCCTAACTACCCGGTGCTACATATCAGAGTCAACCGACCAAAAAGGATGAAGACTCGCTTCGCAAAAAGGCTCCAGCAACCTATTCTGCAATGCCTCATAGAGCATCATAAAACAGCAGAAGGGTGAGAAACATATATATATATATATATATATATATATATATATATATATATATATATATATATATATATATATATATATATATATATATATATATATATATATATATATATATATATATATATATATATATATATATATATATATATATATATATATATATATATATATATATATATATATATATATATATATATATATATATATATATATATATATATATATATATATATATATATATATATATATATATATATATATATATATATATATATATATATATATATATATATATATATATATATATATATATATATATATATATATATATATATATATATATATATATATATATATATATATATATATATATATATATATATATATATATATATATATATATATATATATATATATATATATATATATATATCATAAAACACACATATCTCACATTCTCACCACATCACCACAACTTGCTCACATACATCGCAATGTATAAATATATGACATCAAGCATATTTATCATGCATATATCCACAATTCTCATCATTCTCATAAACAGAGACATTCATGTTTATTCACCAATGCATCATTATGCAGATGACAGATGCAACTCATAGAGACCGACTCACGACCTATGCAGATGCAATACGGTACCGAGTCAATCAACTCAAGTTCACTCATGAACTTATTGGAATCATCACTCACACCCCACATGGGCACACGATGTTCACTCATTGCTCATACCCCACATGGGCACACAATGTTTATGGATTGCTCACACCCCACACGGGCACATAATCCGGTTGCTCACACCCCACATGGGCACACAACCATTTGTAATCATCGCTCACACCCCACATGGGCACACGACGTTACAACAGATTCTCACTAGAATCATACAGCACAAGAATGTATATCATGATGTTACACATGCAAAGTGACTCCATACACTTCTTGAAATGCATACATATTCACAATATATCATGCATTCATCATATTCAATCGCATACAACCAATATGCATTCACAACAACATGCCAAACGACAACAATTCCATCACAATCATCATGCATATTTAATCAATCTAAACAATGCATACATTTGCCAAACCACCATAATTCACAATTGAATTCCACAATCTAAGATTCACGCCATACGGCTACCCACAACATATCAAACAACAGCACACAAACTACTCATTCAAGAAGAGGTCGATCGCAATAGAACAAAAAAAACGATACAAAATGAACCAACAGAAAAAGCTGAGCTGTCATGCTCGCTGGCCTGCTCGCTTAGCGAGCTCCTAGCGAGCACTCGCTACCTGTTCGCCTAGCGAACCTGCTCGCGAAGGATGCTTCTGAGCTACTGGAATTGCTCACTGCACACTCGTTGGGGCTTCGCCTAGCGAACCCCTCGCTACCCCACTCGCTCAGCGAACATGCTAGCAAATACTGATTTTGGCCACTGGAATGGTTCGTTACCCACTCGCTGGGCTTCTCTTAGTAAACCTTCGCTACCCTGCTCGCCTAGCGAACGTGCTAGCGAGCGTCTACGAACTTCAAAATCTTCTAATGTCCAAAATCATCAAATCATCATAAAATCACCTGATTCAAAACCTACAAGTTCTAGTAGTCTTAGCCCAACAATACTCGACTAAAATATGCCATTAATTCCAGAATCTAATCGTTAAAACCTCGATTTCTATCGATTAATCCATTTCTGGCCTAGAATGGAAAATGCAGAAAAACACCCAAACAATCCAAATAACACATACATAATCATACACATTGATAAGATGATAAGATTTCACACCCTTACCTGATTAAATTGATTCCTAGGGTTTGATCTTGAAGAATCCAAGTTTTCTCTCTCTTCCTTCTCTTTTCTCTTCCTCCTTTTTCTTTCTCCACTTTTTCTCTATTCTTTTCTTTCCATCTCTTTTCTTTCCACTTTCCCTTATATATCTTTCTATTCTATTCTATTCTATTTTCTTCTCTCAAAATATCTACCAATTCATTTCCTCACAAAATATCTAATCTCACTATTAATTGAGAAACATCATAAATAGTCTCCAACTTAATTCCCAAAACTATCCAAATGATAAAATATCACAATATGCACACATAACATATTAACATTCCAATTCCACGAATAAAATAATAATCACCCAATTAAATTAAGAGACTCAACAGAAATGGGAAATCAGAATCGGGGCGTTACAAGGTACCTATCAATGATGTGTTGTTGCTGCCACCTTCACCTGATATCGATGACCAACACCGCCTGTAGATGATCGTTGTTATTATGGATAACCTTATGGCTTAGGTAAACCTAGATGCTGGGGTTTTTTACCAAGTTATAGTGGGCAACACACATAACCCGTGAGGGACGTATTTAGTTATTTGATTTTGTAATTGTATTATTTGTATATTTTATGCCTCAAAATACTTAGCACCGTACCTTTTATTACATAATATTTTGTCGATAACATATTTCAAAGATGAACATAACTTAAGACATTACAATTAACACAAATAAACAATAAGGAAACATGAAAACCTAGACACTACCACATGATTATGGACATTTTAGCATCTTAATTATGACGTCAACAAATCTTGAAATCTTCGCATCTAACTCGATCAACCCCTTAGTTAGCCTTCAGTGAAATGATTTCCATATTACCGTCAAATCTTCATCGGTCTTCAACTCAATAAGGTTGTATTTCATCCTTCCATGATTATCAATCTGGTCTTCACGAAACTCGGTCTTTTTCACCTTTCTGTTATCGGTATCAGACAACAATTCATTTAACTTAGATGTCAAGGCGGTGAGAGATGTAGTTCCATCTGGAAGCCGAAACTCTATAAAAGGTGCAGCTTCGTTGAAGTACACTTCTACCTTAATCAAAAATTAAGGAAGAGGCATTTTGAGATATTTTTCTCAACAACAGATGACTCATATTTATACAACTTCGATTCATTCTAGACCACACAAAACAGTCAATGCAATCACAGTCGTACAAAATTATCGACAAAATCTTAACCGTTAGAAATCTTATAAAATAAACTATCAAAAATTTCACATTTGTTGAAAATTGTAGTATAATATGATATTTTAAAAAAATACTGATAAAACTCTAAACGTACCAGAAATATTTAAAAATTTCGATATTAGTTCAAACCGAAATTATGAATACACTACCAGAAATTTTGAATTGACTACTAGAAATTTTGTATGCACATTTAAGTACAATTTTAAACAAGAGCACTTTTAAAATTATAGAATAAAATGGGGGTGACAGATATTAAAGGGGTGTGACAAGTTAAATCATAGATGCACGCATAAATAAAGAGGATAGAGAAAAATCAGAAAATTTTACCTCATATTCCTACATTTAATAAAAATTAGCAATTTCACCCTTGTATATTTTTAACTAATTTATTATTTTATTTTTTAAATTTTATTTTGCGTACCGAAAGACTTTACAAAAGAGTTTTGATAGTAATTTTTAAACGTTTTTTATGTATGAGAATACTTTGCAAAAGAGTTTCGATAGTCAATTTTAGTGTATCAGAAGACTTTACAAAAGTTATGGTAGTCATTATTATTTTTTTGTGTATCGGAAGACTTTGCAAAAAAATTTCAGTAGTTAATTTTTGTGTATCAGAAAACTCTTTACAAAAACGGATTACCGAAACTTTTTTTTATACCAGAAGACTTTTCAAAAGAGTTTCGATAATCCATTTTTGTTTACTAGAAGACTTTATAAAAGAGTTCTGGTAGGCATTTTAATTTATTTTTTTTGTGTATCGTAAGACTTTATAAAAGAGTTTCGGTAGTTAATTTTTGTGTATCAAAAGACTTTACAAAAGAGTTTCAGTAGTTATTTTGTTAAATATTTTTTTTAACTTTTATTTTGTATATCAAAACTCTTTTGCAAAGTCTTTCAATATGCAAATTAATTTTAAAAATTATTTAAAAAATAAAATAATAAATTAGTTAAAAACATATAAGAATAAAATGGATATTTTTTATAAAATATAAGGATATGGGATAAAATTTTCGAAAAATCAAGCCCATTTAACCTTAAGCCCATGATTCCAGTCTAAGCCCATTCCGACATGTAACACACATGACTTCAAATCACCAGGCAACAATTTCTCGATTTGAAAACAGAAACCCAGCGCGGCATGATTTCTTCCCCCAACTGCAACCACTCACGTCATTGATCACTCTTTACCGAAACCCTAACAATTCTGCTAGGAAACCCGAACTGGAATGGAGAACCGGTCTCGGGTCCGGTGTCCGGAGAATGAAGAACTGGCGTCGTTCATGTGGAACAAGTGGAAAGACATGGCTGCGCAACCCAAAGGTCTTTCCGAAAACATGGAAATGACACTTTCTAAAGCTCATTTCAATGTCTGTAACTCTAAAAACCCAATTCGAACTATTAAAGATTTTTCTCTTGTCAAGTAAGTTTTCAATTTCTTCTACTTTTTGTCACTATACATAGTACATGTTATTAATAATCAGTAATAAAGTTTGTTTCAATAGATTGTGAATGTAGTTTTAAATTGTAAATTGTAATATATGAATGTGAGTTTGATTGTGAAGTGATGAATTGGGTTTGTTGTGAATTGAATTTTTAGTAAAAAATCTCTATTTTCTTTTGAATTCGAGGATTGTCTATGTTTTGTGTGAAAGAGGGTTGTTTGGGTACTTATTGTTTGGTTTTGTGTGTCTTTGTGTGTGTTATTGGTGTGTTTGTGAAGGGATGATGGTAAGGTGTGTATGTTATTGATTTGTTTGTGAAGGGATGAGGGTAAGGACGAAGGAGGGTGTAGGGTTATTTAAGTTGGGTTTTGTGGGTTACTAATATTATGTTGTGATAGATTGGGTTTGAGGTGTAGCAGAGATGAGAATGTTGCGTTGGATGTGTTGTAATACTAGATGGGATAAAATTAGAAATAACGATATTAGAGAATGTTGGAGTAGCACTTATAGTAGAAAAGATGGTAGAGAATAGGCTTAGGTGGTTTGGATATGAAGAGAGAAGACTTGTAGATTTTGTTGTAAGGAGAGTAGATCAAATGGAGAGATACAAACAACTAGAGGTAGAAGAAGACTTAGAAAAACTATAAGAGAAACTATTACGAAGGAACTTGAGATTAATGGTTTGGATAGAAACATGGTCCTAGATAGAACATTATGGTGTAATTTGATCCATGTAGCCGACCCCACTTAGTGGGATAAGGCTTGGTTGTTGTTGTGGTATAGATTTTTTATGTTATGACTTGAACTTAGAGTAATAAAACTCCATTTTTTATTTTAAAACTTGAGAATTATACAAATTTTGAGTGAAAAGGGTTGTTGGATGCTTAGTGATTGGTTTAAAATTGGGTTTTGTGATGTTCCAATCTAATAATGCCGTTTTTTTAATTGTGTAAGGGGTGTGGGGAAAATGATATTGAGGCTGATGCAGGGTTTTTTTGGGACCGGTTCTGGAGGTACTGAACCAGGGACCGGTTCTGGAGGCACTGAACCAGCTGACTTGACCAAAAAGGGTATGCCTCGATATGTTTAGTTTTTTATTAACACCGTCTTCCATTGGCTTTACATGTATTTTGTCCATATTTTTTTGTTTAATTGTTCCTTTTTTCTCCAATCTTATAGGAAATAAAACTAAAGGAACTAAGCGCTATATGCCTCAAAGGAACTCTGTGGCATATGCATTATTGATAACCCTTTACAGGTATATATATACACGTATGGTCACATCACATGCACTACTAATACATATTTTTGTGTGTGCTGTGTTAAATAGGTTTTTGAAGCTGTTGTGGACTTGTGATAAAACTTGTTATATTATAAGATTTAGCTCATTTTTAATAGGGGAACTTCAAATGGGAATGAATTTATGCGTAAACAGGAGCTTATTGATGCTGCTGAAGCCAGTGGGTTATCTCGAGCACCAATTGCGTATGTTTGCACAGCTTTTATTTTTTTGTGTTTAAATAAACTAGTGGCTAAGGAAATGTTTACAACTTTTGATCAATGAATGTTCTCAGGCCAGAAAAAGGGAAAGGAAAACCTGGACATTTTGGAAATCCTCCACAGGAATGGTACAGTGGATGGAGCTGCATGAAGACATTGGTTTCTAAAGGATTAGTTGTAAAATCAAGTTGCCCAGCAAAGTATGGTTTTCTATTCTGCATTTCTTCTATCAGTGTGTTACTGGTTTTGCTTGTGAACCTCATCTCTTGATCTTTTATGCTATCTCATATATTATTACATATAAAGGGCATTTGTTAAGGGAACCTCTTTGTTTTAAATTTTAACTAATTTCTTGAATTGTCTATTTTTAGTTAGGATTGAGAATATTTTTCTTTTTTATATGTTTCAACAATTGAGCCTTCTCAATAGTAATTTTTCTGATTCTTTTTGTAATTCATTACCAATGAGCCTTCTCTATAGTAGTTTTTCTGATTCTTTTTGTAATTCATTACCAATGAGCATTGCTGATATGATTTCCTTTGTGCATTTTACGGATGAATTTGTTTGCTAGGCCTACAAATTAATTTACTAGATACTATGTTGTGAGTCCAGCAACCATTAAAGTGGTTCTTGTTTAGAAACTTTCAATGATAATATATGTTTTTTTTAATGAAATGTATAATTTGATTTGGTTTGATTAGAGTTCTCCATGTTTGTAAAGATAAATTCTGTTTTGTTTTTAGGTACATGCTAACTCAAGAAGGTAAGGAAGCCGCATGCGACTGTATTAAAAGATCTGGAATGGCGGAATCTTTGGACAAATCGGCTTCTGTTGAAATTTCTTTTCATATGGATAAACAAAACTCATTAGATATGGAAGCCAATGCTCATGATATGGAATCAGAAGTGACATCGCCATTGAACCAGCAAAAGAAACCAATTCATGTTCCTTTTGATTCCCTTGAGAGGGTATGCTTCTTCTTATTTAAAGTACTTATTATATCTTTTGTTTCTTGATATTCACAATATATCCTTCTTCTCTTTACTTGCTCATTTTCTGCGGAAAGAACTGAAATGATGCCTGATTCTGGATTATATGGTATAAATTTTGATTGATTGCTCTTTCTTTTGGATTCATTTTCATGAAATTACAATTGGATAGCTGGTCATAATTTTAGTCTAGTGTAATAATGTAATTGACAAATTCTAATGTTAATGTGAAAATTGGAAAACATACAATAACATGCCAGCTTACTTGCAGATGATTTCCCCGTTTATTGTTGCCCAGTAATTTTATATGAAAAACTGTTGCCCAGTGATTGAAATATGATTTTTCTTCTTGTCTATTGCAAATTCTTCTTCTGTAGTTTACAAATATGGGTTACTCCAAAGAGCAAGTTATTAGTGCTTTTGAGAATGAATCCATTAGCCATCCAAATAAAGATGTCTCATCTCTGTGGCCGGCAGTTTTATGTCATCTTCGGGAGGAGCAAGTCTATGGTTCACAGCCAGAGTCTCAAATAATGATGAGTGCTAGTAATGTTGTAAATGGTATTTCTTCTTCTTCCTCACTGATTCAGTGTTTTTTAATGTCATTGATGAATATTATATCTCAGTAAACCATTTCATAAACGACCAGGTCCCAAAGTTCCTGTTAGAAAAGAGAACAGAACTGTGAGTTCATCCTCTGGTGGGCATGTGGCAAACTTAGGTTCTCCTGATATTCCAACTTTTCCCATGAGAGCTTGCTCATCCGTTGTATGGTTTGTTCCTTGTATAAAAAAATTGACCTTGAGCATAATTTCTATTCAAATAAGGATTGATAATATGATAGTGTACTAGGAATATGTTGACTACTTTTTCTGATAATGATTTTAACACTTCTAGAATTATTAAAATGCGTGAGCACTGCTCATTAATATGTTGACTACTTTTTCTGATAATGATTTTAACACTTCAAGAATTATTAAAATGCGTGAGCACTGCTCATTAATAAGTATACTTGTTGAACAAATTTCATTTTTGTGTTGGAAAATGTCGAATAGTTTCATGTCAAATTGATATTTATTGCATTCCTTTCTGTGGTTGGCAGTGGCACATCGCATTCTTTTTATTATGTCATTGCAAAAAACTATTTAGGATGGAAGTGAGGACTGAGGAATTCATGATGACTTGTATTAAATAATAGGGTTTAATGTACTTAATTTGATAGTTAGGGTGGAAAATGCAATTTGAATATCAACTTAGTGGGTATAATTCATTTGAACCTAACTTTGTTTTCTGTGTCCCTTTGTATTTATCTTAACTTATCTTATATGTTACTATAAGTTTATTGCTGCTGAAGATTTTTTATGTTCTTTTTAAATTTGTTACTTGTCCTGGTGAAAATTTAGGATCATACCACGCAAAAGCCAAACAAGGATGAACTTGAATCAAAGATGAACATTTTAAGTATGCCACCACTGAGCTTGGGGGAGAGATTTGAGGATGCTTATGAGGTAGTTTTAATATTGGATGATCGGGAGCAGTTCGCTACACAAGGGTTAGTAAAGTAAATTGAAAGACCCTTTTCACTCAGGGTTTGTGTATGACTTGTATCAATACCATATGGTTGATTTAATATTCATTTTAGTAATCGTGACATGATTTATAGTTTATTTGTATTTACAGCAATCTGGTACATTCTGTGGATTGTTGCTAAATATTAAATCCAATACACTGTATTTTTTCTTGTTGATTTTTTCAGATCCCGATCTAGAAAGATTATTGATAATATTCGCAGCCACTTCAAAATCAAAATAGAGGTGGGTTTTGATTTCTATACCATCTACAAGTAGTTGATATTACTGTCCAAAACATAAGTGCATATACTATTTACCAAATGTTGATGCTAATATTTGTCATGGAAAATTACAATTGTGTCCCGTGGTTTTTAGTGGTTGGACTTTGAATAAGTTTTTGAAGAAAGACCAAAAAACTAAGAATTTTTTCCCAATTAAGTGTGGTCCACTGCATATATGAAATAATGCCATTGTCAATATATAGTGATAGAGAATATTAATTTACCCTTCTGTGAGTACATTTTTATTTTGTGAACTGATCTTTATATGACATACTTCAAGAAAAAACGAGTTGTTCTTCAGTTTGAACCCACTACCGCTTAGAGTTGGCGTCTTTCAATTAAGCCTTTCTGAAAACTAATTGATTGTGAAGCAAATAAGATGTGTTATTAATCGTATATGGATATGAATTAAACTATTTTTATATCTTGAATATGCACTTTTCTGTTTAGAAAATGGTTAAAATCATCAAAAGAAATTGATTCATGTTTAGGTTCGGCGATTGCCCGTTGGAGATGGGATTTGGATAGCGCGCCACAAAAATCTTGGCAGTGAATACGTGTTGGACTTTATTGTCGAGAGGAAGAAAATTGATGATCTACGCAGTTCAATTAGGGATAACCGCTACAAGGATCAGAAGTTAAGACTTGTGGTAATTATTCCTTTTAGGATAGTTAGAACTTTCTTTTGACTTATTATGATTGTTTAAACAAGTTGATGATTTTAGTCTCAGTACGCATATATGGTTGTTTGTAGAGATGTGGGCTGAGGAAGTTGATATATCTTGTTGAAGGTGATCCAAATTCTTCTGAAGCTGCTGAAAGTATAAAAACAGCGTAAGTGCATTTCTTTGTTAAATACATGTAGTACATTTTCTGGTTAAGTCTAAGTTATGCCAAATTTAAGGCTATTTATTCTGGTTTCGTGCAGCTGTTTTACGACAGAGGTTCTGGAGGGATTCGATGTTCAGAGAACAACTAGCTTAGGCGATACCCTAAGGAAGTATGGTCATCTTACCCAAGCAATTTATCAATATTACAAGTCCGGATTTTTTGAAGACAATAATAAACGCTCTGCGATATGTCCTCCTTTTGATGAATTTATCAGAAGGTGTCAAGATCTTGAAAAAATGACAGTTAGTGATGTATTTGCAACCCAGCTTATGCAGGTACCAATAGTTTCAAAATTGATTTTCAACTGTTTTTCTTGATTAAATGCTTTTAATTTAGACTTATTTTGAATCTCTCAAATACAGGTTCCACAGGTTACCGAGGAGATTGCCATGGCTGTGTTGGATTTGTATCCTACACTTCTGTCTCTTGCTCGCGCATACACACTACTTGTGAGTCCTCACTCCTTTCTCACAAGTATTTAAACAAATTACTAGTTTATAAGAATCTTGGCAAATAGCATTAGTATAATGGTACTCTAGTTTAGATTGTTTTAAGATTCTTTATCATTAAACTAACTCATCCACTTCAATTGTTTGATTTCGATTAGGATGGCGATTCTCGCGCGCAAGAGCAAATGCTTCAAAGACAAAGTAGTAATGTGATCAATGCAACTGCTAGTAGGAATATTTTCCAGCTTGTTTGGGGTAGCTGACTTGTATTTCCCCATCAAAGTTGAGTTTTTGGGCGCTAATAGCCTAAGCAGAAGTGAATACCATTTTTTATTTACTTTAGCAAGTTTTCTTTATTGTAAGTGATGTAAAATTATTATTAGTTTACGATATATGAGAGTTTTAGTTTAGTGGTCATCTGTATATTTTGTAAAGGGAAATTGTGTGCAACATCAATTAAAGTATTTTTCATATTATTAAGTTTATAGTATTTTGTAAAGCAATTTTTTTTTAAAGAGTTTAATGGAGATGCATTGAAAGTCTAAAAAAATTTTAGAGTCATTTAATAGGAATATATCATCAAATATTTACAAGTAATTTAAATATTTCAATTTGATTTAGTAGGATACATAATCGTCATTGATTGACTGTGTAATATCAAATTAATTTACACTGACATTGCATCATTCTTATACAATATATTAATATAATAATACCTCAATACTATTTAAGTGTTTTCAAAAAAAGGTTGGCAATGTATTTAATGTTTATTTTGGGTAAATATTTATTAAATACTCTTTTAAGTTATCTATTTTTTTTAATGACAAATTTTTAGAGGAAAAAGTTTATAACACTTCATTAATGATAATATTAATTATAACATGTTAAAATGTGATATTTTTAAAAATATTTGAAAATTAATTAAAGACTTGACTTTAATTTACAAAGAATGTTTCTTGTTTGTCGAGTTTTAAAGATAAATTATGATTTTTTTTTACAAAATTAGCCTTTATTTGTGATGAGAAAATAAATTAAAAATATTATAGAAATTAGTAAGAGTAATATTAATTATTCGTTAATATTTTAAAATGATCTGTAATTTTAATATAATTTTATTTTTCAAAGTGAAATTAAAAAGTGAAAAATATTATGTAATACATAAGAACTTTAAGACAATTCCCTTGTGAAATTCTGCATAAAAATTCACGTCTTTCATATTTCAGAACTTGTACATACGACTTGTGAAATTCTGCATAAAAATTCACGTCTTTCATATTTCAGAACTTGTACGTACGACGTGATGAAAGAGTGTATTATACACTATAGAACACAAACCATAATCAGTTATTTAATTTACAATTAAAAAATTATAATCTTGTATAGAAATTCTTTTTTGCTCACTAATGTAGTACTATTTTACTATGTTATTTACCTTGATGTATTGCACTCAATTCAATCATTGCATGTTTGTGAGAAATACAGTTTGCATTACAATGGTAGTGATTGGGTTCCTTAAACCTATTCTCTAGTATTTGAATATTGAATTATGTGTATTAAAAAACCTAAGATGGAGATACCTAAATTTGAAAGAAAGAAAAAAAGTTGATTTTATATTTTTTTAATGGTTGAGAATTCTTCTTTTTCAAAGGTGAATAAATAAGATGTCGCGAATTTGAATACACATATTTACAATCTGATGTTCCTGTATGATTACCAATTGAGTTATCTTAACGAAATAGTTGGTATAATAACTAGGATTTGTGTCCTCTACCTTGCTTATCACTATTGCATAATATATAACTCCAAAATACTCTAACAAATGACCAATGATAATGCACATGAAATCAAAGTTTGCTTAGTATTCAAAGATACATTGCATAGAAGAATATTATTTGTTCCCTAGAGTACAACATATTATAATCACTTCCTAGTTCCTATGTGAGAGAATATGCATACAAAACATCACACCTATAAATCCAATATTGTCTTGTTTATTTCTTTTTCATCCAAGGAGAACTCCCCAAGTCTAGGAGCTACCTTTCAACATAAACCCAACATTGTTTTGGAGGATCTTCCTAAGATTTTCCTTGCAATGTTCATCACACAATCCACTAAAAAACAATCAAAACTCATTTTTATGTTTATGAAGAGACAATTATGAGGTAGAGAGGTGACAAAATCAACTTTTTCTCTTGTCTATTCTGTTGAAACTTTTCATGAAAGAAAGCTTCAATTCAACCAGCTTCTGTCTATAAAAACATTTCATCACAAACACTGTAGATCTTTACATTTAGCAGAAGAACATTAAGGTCATTTTTTGGTTGCTCTTTTCGGCCTTAACAGATAAACCGCCGCATGGAGTCAGGTAATATAACATTGTTGATTTTTTTTTCATCCATATCAATCTTATGCTAATTCATCTGTTTTTGACTAGGTTCGCCATATCAGTGGCTGAGAGAGCTACGACGCGACTCTCATAGCTCGAATCCGATAAGTCTTCTCATCGACTCTGCCAAATGCGTTGCGTCGGGAAACATAAAAAATGCAGACATCGGACTTGAGTATATTTCTCAGGTTTCGTCGCCTGATGGCAACGCAGCGCAAAGAATGGTTACTTATTTTAGTAAAGCACTCAGTTACAAGATAGTCAAACAATTACCTGGTGTATACAAAGCTCTTAATTCGTCGAAAACTTTGTTGTCTTGGGACGATATCGATGCTCAGAAATACTTCTACGAGTTGTGTCCGTTTATGAAGTTTTCGTACCTGATCACGAATCAAGCAATTGTGGAAACAATGGAATGTGAACAAGTTGTTCATGTTATTGATCTTCATTGTTCCGAACCAGCGCAATGGATAAATCTTATACAAACTTTGAAGAAGCGTCACGGAGGTCCGCCTCATCTGAAAATTACAGGAATTCATGAAAAGAAAGAAGTACTTGACCAAATGAGTTTCCATTTAACAATTGAAGCAGGAAATTTGGATTTTCCTTTACAGTTTAATCCAATAGTTAGCAAACTCGAAGACGTTGATTTCGATAACTTGCCTGTCAAGACAGGTGAGGCTGTCGCGATTACTTCTGCTCTTCAGCTGCATTCTCTTCTCGCAACCGATGATGAAATGGTCGGGAAGATCTCGCCAGCAGGACCTTCGTCTATCAATCTGCAGAGAGCAGTGCAGATGGGCCAGAGAACCTTCGCAGAGTGGCTCGAGCGAGATATGATCAATGCGTATATCTTGAGTCCCGATTCAGCTTTATCGCCTCTCTTTTTAGGCGCTTCGCCTAAGATGGGGATCTTTCTCAACGCCATGCGAAAACTACAGCCGAAACTTTTCGTGATTACTGAACAGGAATCAAATCTAAACGGATGCAACTTAATGGAGAGAATCGACCGAGCATTGTACTTTTACAGTTCACTTTTCGACTGCTTGGACTCGACTGTTCCAAGAACATCAGTCGAGAGACAGAAGCTCGAGAGCATGCTTCTCGGAGAGCAAATCAAAAACATCATTACTTGCGAAGGAGTCGATCGAAAAGAGAGGCACGAGAAGGTTGAGAAATGGATTAGAAGACTCGAAATGGCTGGATTTGTGAAGGTACCTCTGAGTTACAACGGTAGAATCGAAGCGACGAATCTATTACAGCGATACAGTCATAAGTACAAGTTTAAAGAAGAAAATGATTGTTTGCTAGTATGCTGGAGTGATAGGCCACTCTTTTCTGTATCTGCCTGGAGTTTTAGGAGATGATTGTTCAAATATCGGTTGGAATATGTTAAAGTCACCTTGCATTGTTTTATTATAAGGAATTTATCATTTTATATGTTGATCAAGTTGTAATGAAAAATCTCATGTTTATCTTTTGCAGCTTCATATTTAAAACCTATAAGAAATCCCAAACAATTACAGAAATTCTCGCATATTATACAAAACACATTCATTTTACATGTTACCATTCTTGAGCAATTGTAATCAACCCAATCAGAACTGTAAGGTATTGCCACTGTTCAACATCAAAAGTTCAAAACATACAAAGTGTTATTATTATACCAAATAAAAAGTTAAGAAAAAGTTAACACACGAGTTGTACTTGCCTGTGACAAACATGTCTGTTATGAAGAGTACAACGCCTACTCGAGTTAGAAAAATGATAACTTTTTACCTCATTTTTTAGGGTTATTAGGTACCATATGCGCTTTCAAAAATAACTTCTGCTTTCGGAGATGTATATCCGGAAGCACCTTTTTTTTTTATTTAACGTTGGTTTTTTCAGGAGCTACGTATACGGAATGTTTCCGTTTGTATATATAGCTCGGAACAAATCAAAATACATTCGCGCCATAATCCCTTCTCCACTCTCATTCTTTATCTTTCAACATCTCACCCTCAAACTCTCCAAACTCTCTCAATTCTCAAAAAAACTTTTTCCACCAAACTTAATTGTGTTCAATCAAGTTCGACAAAAAGCATTCATCTTGTCGATATTTGTAAATATATATATAGTGTTGAGAATATTTGTATATAGAATAGTCTCACATCGACTATATCATGTAATTAGTTGTAATCTATTTATATATAATAATGTCTCCGTAGTGCTTTTCAAAACACACGGTTTATTCATGTCTCTTAGTCTCTTATATTTCAACATGGTATCTAGAGCCTAAGAGGCAATTCTTTCTTCGCCGTATTTTACCCGGTTTACCTACTGTCTTCCGGTGAGAATTTTTTTTTTGGCAAACCGTGTTGTCACTCCGGTTTGCCTCTCACTTTTCAAAATTCTCCGGTAACCGTCTTGCCTCTCACTTTTCACTCTGTTTTTTTTGTCATTAAGCTATGGGAGGAGTGATTCTATCTCGTTTACTAAAGTTCCTCATATCCCATGTGAAAAACTAACCGGATCAGCAAACTATAACATATGGGTCCGTGCTGTCGATATGTGGTTTCGTGGTCAGGGATATGAAGATCATCTAACCACACAATTGACTAATGTTACCTCCGACAAACTCACTAAATGGAAGAAAACAAATGTCTCTCTACTTACAGTGTTATGGTTCTCCATAACACCTAACCTCTAAGTGCAATATCAAGCCTTCTCCATTTGCTATGAAGTTTGGGAAAAGGCCAAGAAAGTCTTCTCCAACGACGTTCATTGTCTATACAGTGTCATCCTCAAACTCGACACACTGAAGATGGAAAATATGGATATGAAAACCTATCTGAGTAAGCTTGATGCCTTGAAAGCAAGTTACGCAACCCTCAT